GGGAGCATAAGCTTTCGTGGGTGAATGCCCACTTCGTCAGACACATGCCACAGGACTCTCTGTTGCTTTTTACAGATCCAGACTAACACGGCTACCCCTCTGATACTTGGATTATTTGCTGAGTGACGACAGCGTGTTCACTTCGGTACAAAGGCAGAGGACGAGCTGATCGGTCTGCTGGTGAGGAACCCAGACTGGGAGTCAGGAGGCCTGAGATCTATTCCCAGCTCTGTCTCTGATTTACTGTGTGACCTTGGAGACAAGTTCATGTCCCCTCTCCATGCCTCAGTTTCCCCAATTGTAAAGTAAGGGAGATGAAACTTAGTCACCTTTGCAAGCTGCTTTGAGATCTCTGAATGAAAAGCCTGATAGAGGAACTTTTCTTACAAACAATTGTCCGTCTAAATGTTCCTATTGTTACATTCATCCCATTAGCTACAGTGTTTAGTAGCGCCCAAAGTAATTCCTAAATTGCCTTCCTTTTTATGGGCACTCTTTGGAATGTTTGCACAAAATGTGGATCAAAAATATATAGATATTATTAGTTGTACATTGAATTATTATGTGCAATTCATACTGTGCTGCTTCAGGCAATGAATAGTCCCCTGTATGAACACGAGGGTGGAATCATTTCATGAGGCTTGGTGAATGCCTGGAAAAGAACCTGATTAATAATAAAGTTGTGTAAGGCTAGCAGGGCAGGTGAAACATACCCCACGTCATAGGCTCAGGCAGTTTCAGTAGGAATCATCAGCAAGGGTGACTATCAAATCCAATTGCTAATGTAACATACCAGCCAGACGGCAGAGAAACATTAACACCTACTGCTGGCACGGTGCTTTTCATCCATAGATCTCAAAGTGCTGTCACACAGGCAAGTCCTTATACAGGTGAGGAATCGGAGATGCAGAGAAATTAAAGGTCAGATTTTTCAGAATGTTCCGGATTTTCAAAAGCTAGGTTTTGATTGGAGCATTTTACAAATTGGGGCATTTATTTGGGTACCTAAATGGGAGCTCTTGGGTTCTGACTTTGTCTGAAAATCTTGCCCTCAGTGCCCGGGGATTAAGGAACAAACCCAGGTGTCCTAATTCCCCACACTGTGCCCTGGGTCACTGCCTGCACTATGCTCTTTGCACAAATACCAATGGCTGAAACCTGAAACAGGGCGATTGGCCACAACATAGCCAAAAAAAGATGATTTTTTCACACTACCTCCTAGCATTGGGATATCATTGTTCTGAGCCATTGGAAACTCACCTGTGACAATTAGTCTGGTCCCATTCCCGAAGTTGGGCTGTAGATACAGAAAGGCAGAGAGGCCACAGTAATAAACCCCCGAGTCGTCTCTTTGCAGGTTACTGATTATCAGAGAAAACGTGTTTGCTGCAGTGTTCACATTACTCGAGTATTTTCCATCGGAAGGTGCAGACTCAAAACTCTGGTAAATCCATTGCAAACTCCCACCCTGTTGTTCCTTGTACCATATAATCCTTCCTTCTGCTTTAGAAGGGTGACAGTCCAGCTGTGCGGTCTGTCCAGGGATCCGCTGCAGCTGTGCTGGGCTTTGCAGGATTTGTATCCCTTCTTCTGAGGCAGCCACTATACAGGGGAAGAAAGGAGTCGGTTAATACAGCGAGCACTGGAAAAGGCTGCGCTTTTGCAATAAACTATATAGAGCAGAAGATCCAAGAATAACACATATTTGTTAAAGATTTATTTTAATTTTTCTCTATTTCTAGCCATTTGTTTTCTTAGGATCATTCTGCTTAAAAATACGCCAGCCTGTGTTATACAACAGCATGGGGGGGAAGTAGATTTTGCACCACATTCCAGGATATTATCTAGAAACAGAAACTATTTTCAAGGTTAGTATCTGGCATCCAGGTTTCTTTAAAAACAGAATATTTCATCTCCTCTCTTAAGATTTCAGTTGATGAACTAAAAGATGTGACTCTCTCTCTGACCAGGTCAATGTTAACACCACCTAGAATTGCAGAAGGTCCTTGGGTAGAAAATTGTTTGTAGCATGGTAGAAAATAAGCATGAAATAAATTGGGCTAAAATACTTACTGTGCAGATAGACTAGAAGTATCCCAACTGTCTGGTGGGACATCTTGTGCCTTTCTTCAGTAATGAATAGGTGATGCTGTGAGACAGACGCCTGCTAGCTAATGGATCTCTTGATGAAAGACTTTGTGACGTGGAGAGGAAAATGTTCTATTTCCTCTTGTAGGTCTGTGGGGCAACATGCATGACAAAAGAAGAGGGTCAGGAGTTGTTGATAGCCCCATTCAAAACCTGCTCTGAGAACCAGCAGAGCAAATCTGGGGGAAAATATTCCTTTGCCTCTAAAATCCATTAGAGGAGAAATTCAAGCTCAGAGGGGGTAACAGCATGGTGTGTGTCTAGTGCAATTCGCTGTGTTATAGTTGGATGTCCATAACAAGATCCTCTTCTGACTGCTATCTAGGCGGAATATTGTCTATGCTTCAGAGATGCATAAGGTCAGATGGGATTAGCATCAATAACATAGTGGTGTATGAAAACTGTTAAACTTGTGGTTTATCCCTTTAAATTTCAGGGGATTTTCCTGGTCCTGCTTGCTGCCTGTAGGGAAGTATGCAATCTGGTCCTAGCAGATGTCAGTCTGGAAAGTGCCAGCCTAGAAAGAGGTGGGTGAATTTTGCCTCGCTGCCTTAGGGAGCAGCCTGCTTCATCTCTCTCTGGTTTTGGTTACTGTGTGTTATTCTGGATTCTAATAATAAAAGTAATGTTAGGTTACAAACTTTCAGCAAGAGTATTTGGTGTTTTTTATGTCACGAGCATAACAATCACCAAGAGGCATATCAGATG